CTGATGATATGCAGCTTTTCCACTGTCTCTTCCCACAGATGTAGTCAATTTTATTTCTTTGTACACCTTCTAGTAGACTCACATGTGTAGTGGTCTTTTGTGTTGCTTAAGAAAGGTATTTATAATGAACAAGTCTTTGGTCTTGCAAAATTCTATCATGTCATCTCCAGCATCATTTCTATCACCAAGATATTTTTCAACCACTGATCCTTCCTCTTTATTTGCAACCTTTGCATTCCAATAACCAGTAGTTACCAATATATATTGACTATATGTTTAATTAATTTCAGACTGAAGACATTGGCAGAATTCTTTAATTTCATCATCAATGGCTTTAGTGTTTGGTCATGAAGTTGAATAATAGTGTTATTAACTGGTCTTCCTTCTAGATGTATGTATGTTATTCTTTCACACATAGTATTATACAGTAGATCTTGAAATTTTCTTTTTGATGATTACTGCTATGCCATTCTTCTTCATTTTGTCATTCCTAGCATAGTAAGCCATATTATTGTCAGATTAAAAATTGCCAATTGTCAGATAAAGTCCATTTCGGTTCATTAATGCCTAGGATAGTGATCTATATACATTCCACACCATTTTTGACTACTTCTAAATATCCTAGATTCTTAAATATGTGTATAAATGAAATGTCAAGCAGTAGTTTAAGTACTAACATCAAAATAATGCACATTAGTATGTGACTGAAAGAAATGATGGGAGATGTGTTGCTGGTTGTTGTAAATAGGTTGTTTGCAGAAGTCCTCTCTCAGAAGATGATATATAAACATCAATTCAGGTGAGTTGATGGCGATATCTATGTAGTTATATGGCAAATTATTTTCAGAGAAAGGCAAAGCATGTGCAAAGTTTCCAAGGCAAGAATGTTTTTGCAAATTTGAGGAACGGTTAAAGGTGACCAGTATAGTTGAAGTAGCATGGTTCAGATATAAAGAATCTGGTAGATTATAGAAAAGACTGAATGTTACTGAGTTGAAATGGCAAAGATTTTACTAGGAAAGAATATGATATGTCTTAAATATATATGTATATATATATTTGTATTTTATGTGACAGTTTACATAGCAAGTTATGTAATTATTCCAATCAATAATTCATACACAAATTGTCCCGTGATAGTGATTGTACTAACCAAACTGTGTCAGACCTGTCTCTATTTCCTTCTTCCTTTCCATTCTTCCAATTTCTCTACCCCTTCTTTTTGCATTGTTGGTTTTGGGCAAATATTGTCCTTTTTGGTCTCGTGTAGTTGTCAGCATTTGGTGTTCTGGTGTGGCGCTGTAGAGTAAGCACTGGATTGTTAACTGCAAGGTGGTGGTTCAAAACCACCAGGTGCTCCTTGGAAATGGCTGAGTTGTTTGTTTTAAGGAATATATTCTTTGGGGGGGGTGTTGTTGTTTGTTTTATGCTGGTGTTGCTGTTGTGGAGTACCATGGAGTCGGTTCCAACCCATAGCAACCCCCTATAGGATTTCCAAGGAGCAGTTGGTGGGTTTGAACCTCTGACATTGTACTTAGCCATCCAGTGCTTATCCTACAGCACCACACCAGGATTCCTGTTTGTTTTATGTTGTTGATGTTAAGTGTCAATAGTTGGTTCTGACTCATAGTGACCATGCGTAAGATTTCTGAGGAATATCTCATAATTTTAAACAACTGATCTTGCAGTTCAAACAGACCTTGTGGTCCAGTGCTTATCATAAAGCACTGCACCAGGACACCATAGATTTGGCTTTGATTCGCTGGAAGGTGGCCTCTGGGAATGACTTTAGTATTAAATTAGATGGTTATCTCTTGGTAATTCCAAATGGCTAATACCAGTTCATTACAGTTCACTGATTACTAGGATATTGATGTTTATGTGTTCTATTTCATTTTAGACAATTTCCAATTTTCCTAGATTCATATTTCATACATTCCAGGTTCCAATAATTAATGGATGT